CTCAGTACACAGGAGCGCAACAGAGGATTGATAAGAGGTCAACTAAGGGTTAAGGGAAGGCGAGGGTCTGCAAGATGATAAGGAAACTCGACGATAAGAATATGAATCAGAAAAAAGGAAAACAGAAGCAAAAAAACATAACCAGGATTCACTCACTTAGCTATCTTCTTCTTCATAAAATCCCCAAGACAAACAGAAGATCTTAGAGGGGGAACTATAGCAGCAAAAATATCACCACCACTCTGCGACAGGAGTGGCGTGGTCAGTACCAGAGCCCCAGAAGAACTCGAGCTCGGCGACCGCTTACTACAAGAGAACAAGGCCAAAGTCAGAACAAAAAGTGGTGTTCAACAACAGAAAAACAAAAAACAACTCACCGGCGCATGACAAGGGCCGCATCATCATCCTCATCTTCCTCGCCCTCAAACAAGGCAACCACAACGCCATCTGAAAAAGGAGAACAATACTCGGTTAAAGGCACAAACAAACAACAAAAAGACAAAGCGCATTAATATGCTCACCTAGGAGCATGCTACCTATAACTTGAGTACCTGGACGAGTACTCGACTGGCGAGGCTTCTTGATAGCAGACAAACCAGAAGAACAATCCGCCCACCCCCTTTTTCCGACACAACGAGGAGCTCGAGGAACTGGACGAGGAACATACTCTACATATGCGTCAAGAACTGTGGAAGAAACACCACGGAACATCGTGGTGGTTTGAAACTTACTGATTAAAGATGCCCCAGCAAGACTATCCCTAGTCCCCACAATGGCAGGGCAGTCATCAAGGGGGACCGGATCAACAAAGTTATGTCCAAAAATCCTATAAAAGAGTAAAACAACCAGACAAGAAAGATTAAGCAAAAAGTGGAGACAGCAAAGGAAATACAAAAAGTACCCGCATAAGAAAAAACAACTCACAGCAGGAGGCGGGTTGTTAGCACAATACTCAAGGACAGCATGCGGAACGACGCTTACTCCTTTCAACATCTTCTGAAGGCACTCGAGCACCTCCTCATCAGTCAACTCAAGGGCAGGGACCATACAAGAAGGATCCTCCGCCCCAGAGTACTCAAAACCATAATTCTCTCGCTCCTTCAGAGGCTGAACACGACGACGAAGAAAACTGGAAATGATACCAAAGCCGGTCAAGCCCTGCTGTTTCAGAGTACATATCCTCTCAAGAAACGGCTTGATCGCCTGGAGCTCATCCATCATCGGGGGATTCTTTTCCCATCGGTCATTAACCACGGGACCAGAACCAGAATGAACAGCAAGAGGAGGAATCATATTGGCGGCATAAAACCAGTCGGCACGCCAATCTCTCACAGAATCAACCAAGCCATAATCAAAAAAATTACTCTTAAGACCCTGATGAAACTGAATTCCGTAGCCACCAAGAACATGGGTGTCATCACGGTGGGGTTGTGGCTTCAGACGGAAGAAGTAACGAAAGAGAGAAAGAGAAGAAGGAATTTCAAGAAAAGTTTCACAAAGATGAACAAAAACAGAAAGATGAAGGACAGCATTGGGAGCAAGATGGTTCAAGCAAATCCCAAAATAACTGAGAAATCGCTGAAGAAAAGCAGAAGCAGGAAGGCAGAGTCCATCACGGATAAAGGAGACAAAAAGAACAATCTCACCAGGACCTGGAGTTGGGACCCGATGCTGGCCTAGAGCTTTCTAATCAGCAAACTCTTTACCCTGGATCAGACCATCACTAACAAGCTCGCGCAACTAATCCTCAGTCGTAGTCGGAGCCGGCCAGATCTTCTGAGCAGCCCTCATGGCCATAAATCTTGATTTTCAATCACAGAAAGAGATGCCTCCTCGTCTACAAAGGTTGCCTAGGACTTGCTCGCTGATTTCTTCCTACCCATATACTAGCAAAAGCAATAAAGCACTAAGAAACGATGATGCTCAGACGGCGGCGCTAAGATGACGGCGACAATGGCGACGGCGGAGTTTTGAAGACTAGGGTTTCAAGGCAAAAGCAGGGCAACGAAGAAAAAGAAGAAGAAAGACATTTAAATAGATTTTACAGCAATAGAAACACGGCCCACCAGACCCGTTTAAACACGGCATGAGAACGCAACGATCCATTTCTCACCACAACTGACACAACTAAAATGACGGACGGCACACTTCTACACAAAGGTACAGTTCAACGGGCAGATTTTAGACTTATCCATCCAGCACCACGACAGAGTTATCATATTGCTACAAAAAGAACTCATCAAACATGAAGCAACGAAGGGTTACCTCACAAGGAACACAAGAACCCGGTTTTTATAGAAAGAACTCGGGAATCTCATAAACAACCAGGACATCAGCAGAAAAAAGAATGACAACTCTGAAGACAAGATTCTTTCCATTACAAATAGCTTCAAAAAATACAAGATTACACATCTTACAAGACCTAACGAATTTGGTACTACGACAAGCAAGGTAGCAAAAAGGAATCCGGACACAACTAGGCTTTGGAACGACTACGTGTTCCAAATTGCTACTCGGTAGAACAAACCGCTTTTCGGCTACACTTCATTTTTTTCAAAAGGGCCGAACACAGTACATCCAAAAAAGAACCCGGAAATCGGCAAAATACGGTGGGACAACATGGACCAAGGGCCAAGTCCGATGTGATGCACGGATTAGGTGTTGATCTGCACCGGACAGTCGCAGGGCAGGCGAGGAGGATCAACCCAGAACTGCTGGATGAAGGAACGTATCCCACATCACAAAACTTCCTCCAACTACCGTCATGTACTTCCCGGTACAATGCCGCTGTGAGATTAGTCTACCTCTAATCCCTATCACAAGACTCCCTCCAGCTACGACAAGATACACAAGAACTACAAAATACGCCCGGGGGCTGCTCTACTTCACAAACTATCATATTCATGACTACGGAGATTTCAGACCACGTAACAAAATGCTCGATGAATCAAAACAAGACACTTTGTGAGGATATTTATAGACCAAAGAAATTGTTGCGGTGCATATGGACCAGAGGAGCACAAAGAGTGGAACAAACCTAACAAAGGACATAATGAAAAGACAATTCAATGAAAGAGGACTCCATTGACGTGAAGGAACAAAATTTACTCAAGAACGAAAGCATATTCGGAAGAATATACCAACAACGCATAAACTCGTGAACAAACAACATTTACTCTCAACCACCACCATACAACTACATCTCAACAACGAACGAGAATCGAGAGAACATGCCAAGATTCCGTATCTCGAGTTCTTTTTGAATAAAAGAACCCGGTATATATTTCGATGCTGCAACATTTAGAGAGGTTTTTAGTTCTTTGAACAACTCAGATTCAAGACCTTCCAACTCTTTGTTCCAAATAGCAAGAGGCTCGGGGCTACACTTTCGGTGAGTGCACTTTTTCTTCAAAAAAGCGCACCACTCAGAAGACTTCTTCAAGACAGCAGTTTTCAAACAACATAAGATTCAAGACCCTCTAACTTTTGTTCCAAATAGCAAGAGGCTCGGGGGCTACACTCGATGATTGCACTTTTTCTTCGAAAAAAGCGTCGTCACCAAGACTTCTTCAAGATGTAAACAAGTTCAGACAGACCAGCTTCTTCAAGACCTCACGACAAAAAGAACCCGGACCGAGTTATATCCGAGTTCTTTTTGATAAAGAACCTGGGTATATGCTCGGGAGCCCTTCGACGAAGAATCAGAGTAATTTCAAGACAAGACCCTCCAGCTCCTTGTTCCAAATAGCAAGAGGCTCGGGGGCTACACCCAGATGGGTATACTTTTTCTTCAAAAAAGCACAAACCACTCGAAGATTCCAAGAAGCGCTACACGGTTTCGCTCAAGAAAGCACTCGAACGATGCTTGCTCCTACTCAGCAAGACCTGAAGGAACAAGACGAGGCTTCCAAAGCTCAACCATGAAGTGCTTGGGAGCTTGTCGATGCAGGACCCACAGGATACCCCGCAAGGAAGAGAGAAGATCTAGTCTAACTAGGATTCTTCCTATGTAATCTTAGTTGTAGTATTATTCTGTAATCCTACTAGGAACTCTCATTATAAACCGACTAGGACTTTGGTCTCCTGACTATATAAAGGAGGGCAGGGTTCCTGGAGAGAGAGACTGGAGACAATCAATCCAACACAAAGGCTAACGCCGACTGGACGTAGGGCTATTACTCGATCACGATCGAGGGTCTGAACCAGGATAAATCGACTGTCTCTTGCGTTTACCGTCGAGTTCTGCATACGCTGAAGCCCGAACAAACTGCCCCGGGTACCCCCGTGGCAGGCTATCGGTGGTGAAACATCGACAATGCCGAATGCAATCCACCTGTTATTCAATGTTGTGGCATATTGCACCATTATTCTTGATAGATGCCGACACTTACTACTCTCCATAGAGATCCAAATCTTGTGTCACAACAAAATGCTTTTGTTTGAGGTTATTTCATATTAAAAGGGGCCTTATGTTTACCCACAGCTCCGACCTTCACTGGAGGCAATAAATAGGCTGAACTCATCCTTGGAGCAAGCGGCTAGAAAATCCCGAGCTCGGGGATTGACTGGAAAATGGCCACTGATGCTCAGTTTCCAACTTTGTCTATGTTATAGAACAGTCGGTTTCTTAACTTGAGACATGTTTGGAGTAACTCTAGATCAAGCCTCAATGAGTTTTTCACTTTAAATGCGACAAAGTTGTATTTTGGCTAGCTTAAGAATAGGCTGACGGGTTTCATCTTTGTGTTAAACTGCATAGGATTTGAAGCATTCATGACCAAATAAATTGTTGGAATTGTTGAATAATTTTACCTCCAAAATCCAGCAAACATCCGGAGGCTCATGTAGATTACCAAAGCTATCAAGATTCCAATAACTTTCAAGAGTGAGGATGCAAATGATACTGACAATGGCAACAAGGACCTGATGATACAGGATTCAATAAAATTTGTGAGAAAAGGTTTAAAAGAATGCATGACAACTAGAAGAGCAGAAGTTTGTCAACTTGCCATTGAATAGGCAGCATATCCGAAATCTGATGCTCCATAATTGATGCCATCAAAAACAAAAGCCAAAGCATTGATTGGTTGAGTAAGGCAGACAAACTGCACAAGGAAAAACAAATATAGATAAGTATTTTAAGAGATACTACCTCCAGTTGATTTTACATGTCGTTTTGACAAGGAAGCAGAAACTAAGGAATCGTTAATTTAGTCCTTTCCTCTTGTTCTTTCCTAACCTCTCTCTGAAAGGCTTGCATGCAGAGATTTTCTCTTAATGTGTCTCAGGAAGCATGCAGGAGTAGTTAATTAGAGGCAAAGGTGGAATAATGACAACAAACACGCAGAACGTCATGTATTCATGAGCCTTTGAAATAGCCTCCAGCTTCATGTATAAATGACAAGAGGTAGTAATGTAGTATTCATTTCAAGCTATAAACTACACCAACACAATAGTATGAAAGAATGAAAGAAATAATGTGAGCCTAACAATAGGATGTGAAGGCTGAGACTTGCCATTCCTAGCATTTAGCATAGAAACCATACCGGTATTCCAATGTAGATATGATGCAGTACACCCTGATCAGATGTAAATAATCTAGATCCTATGCGCAGACCAATACCAAGAAGTCTGCTTAGGAGAAGTCCCAAAACCAAAGCCAGCTGCAAAATAAGGAATGCTTCTCTAAGGCCATGGAAAATGTGTCAAATAGAAAATCAAGATACATAACGTACCTGCAAGATACGAGAAGCTGTGGCAGTGGCCTTTGGATAGTCCTTACGAGCAAATGCACTTGCAAGTATAGCCTGTTAAAATGTGATCCGGATTTATAAGAAATAAACCAAAAGATAAGATGCATCTGGAAAACCCATTGCCAATCATATTAACTGGAGCTTAAATGTCATACAATTTCCAATAAAGAAGGTTAACGACCAACGCAAACAAAGAGTTCCCTTACCTGTCCAGCAAAAGCCAATCCATCAGCAAGAAGTGAGCAAGCCAACCAGGTTTGCAAGCAGATCTGGAATGCAGCCATTGGAGTTGAACCTAGCCGTGCGGCCATTGACGCAGATAGTGTCACACAACATGTTGCAGCAATAACTCGTGCAAGTAACAGAAAACCTGAAGTGTGAAAAGAGAATATCTTAATACAATATCACAATCACTATGTGATTTAAACAGCTGAGACTACTGAGAATTCCTTCTTCGACAGAAATTAAATAATAGAGCAATATTGTGGAAGGAGATATCATAGATTGATAGCTCAGATGCAAAATAAGGAAAAAAAAAAGATTTGTAATGACAATGTTGACAGGTAAATGGTTCACTTGTAATAATCGTGTGATGAGAAAATTTTCAGTACACAGTACAGTAACCAGTATAGTAACAGGGCATATGGTACAATCTTCTATAGTGTAAAAGAGTATCATATCTTAGTTGGAGTCAAGTGTATTAGAAATAACTTACCATTTTTAAGAAATCGGCCAAACTGCAGATGTTTAAAGCTAGGTGGCAACAAATCAACATGCACCCTTAATCTCCATAAGAGTATGGATGCAATGAAATATCTGCAGAATGTTCCACCATACACTATCACAAAAGATAGAGCACAAGAATCATAAACTTTTGGATGTATGTTCCTTCCATCTCGATAGGGAAAAAGCAAAAGGTATGTACGAACTGTGATATAACATGAGCAATGGCAGCACCCTGTCACCATATTGGAACACCAACATAAATATTGGATCCAAAACTATATTGATCGCATCTCCAGCCACTGGTCGCCATAAAAACATTAGACACATAAGGAAAAACAGAAATCCTTCCAAGAAACATTGCCACAAACCATTAGCATTATATAACTAATCATGTAAATGACTAAAATATGGTCAACTATCAAATATTATCGTGAATACATTGCAGTCAATGTTGGACCCTTCAATCCAAATTGCATGTGTTCGAAATATCGATTGAAAAGAATGTACTCAAGAATATTGAGAGCAATGATAAGAGCATCATAACCTACAGTTGTTTGAGAAGTGGAAAAGGTTCAGTTTACTCCTCTCAAGTATAGGCATAGCTCAGTGTAATCCAGATGTTCACATACTGGACAACTTAACATCCGAAACCGGTTTGCTCAGTAGGTTTATGGCATCAACTTATTTGAAGGTGGAATTGCACATGTAAGCTGTTATGTCACCCCAGCTTACTAACATCACTAAGTCAAAGAAAACACCCTTCTCTCTGCATCTTTTTCTTCAATCCGTTTCTCTTTGCATGCAGAGAGATTTTCTTGTGTGCAATTATATAGAGATTTTCTTCAGGTCGTGTATTTGCCGAGTAACTCCGGCTGACTCATGGCTGATTCACCAGCCATGCTTGTTCTAAAACCCTTTCTACCTTAATGCAATGATACGCAACACTCTTGCGTATTCGAGAAAAAGTATAGAGAGTTACTTGCATACAACACGCCATCATCACCAAGCCCTCCCATATCTGCATGCAGTTATAGCTGCACACTGCGTCTCCCACTAGACGTCCTTATATGGCATTTCTTCAGTTCCTTTCAGAAAAATGGCATTTCTTCAGCATTTTTTTTTTTTTGCAGTGTAGGTGGTTATCTGTGGGTTGGGACTTGGGAGAGAGAGAGAAGAGATAAGTTCACATCAGCCCATATGTCAATGCCATTCAGCAAAACTGAATGGTAAGATTTTCGGGATGGCAAACCACTTTCAAAACTAGCATTAATGGGGAAATAATACGTAATGAAATACAAGCTGAGTTATGATGAGAGTAAAATGTAAGTTTTCTTTTATTTCAATTTGCCAAGTATATATGATTTACTATATAAGAAATGAAATATTATTATACCAGTTGCATATAGAGGCGTCTTTGTATCCTTAAATCAAGACCCCTTGCATTGCCAAAGATAACAAAACAGCAGGAGCACCAAGAGATCTGAGAACCAAGTACTGCAATGCGGGCTTCATCATTGCAGAATCCTGTTGGAAAATAGTCCGTCAATGGAAAAGGCAACTGCTTATGGGGAAAAGCAACCAAAGGTAAACCCCTAATGCTAACAGATTCTTCATAGAATTTTCAAAATCTTCACAGCTTTCAACAATTATACTGATGATATGAGCCTACTCTATTGCAACAGTTTCTTACTACTAAACAGAACTACAAGAACAAGTATATTCTCTAAATTTTCTGCATTGGATGTTTTAGCAACCTATAAAAGAACATTTATTTAGCTAGTACACTTGTTTAGTTAGTTAAGTAAAATAAACAATAGCAGCCTCCTCGATTAAAAATAAACTGGTGGACTTTCATCCGTTGCTATAATTTCAGAATTATAGGGAAAACCATCATGCTATCACTCGTGTTTTTTTTTTTTTGCTGAAACAGACTAACGAACATTAATAGACAAGAAGGAATAAACAAATTATTACCGGAGTTACACCCATGTAGCCTAAGATAGGTTTTGCAGAGAGAACAAGCAGTAGGGTTTCAAGTAGGCCAAGCACCCCACCAAGTAATAGCGCTGTAGGGACTGATGGAATATTTTTCCTCTTTTGCTCAACACTGACCTCGCACGAATCAGTTTCAAAAGATGATATGCTGGTAGTGGCACTAGCCCCTGCAAGTAAATTTTGAAGTGTCAAGAAAAATATGGAGTGGCCATCTGTCCATGCTTTTTAGAAGAAGAACACCTTCAGGAGAAATCAGTTCCTCCATTTCGCTAACAGAAACATTGCATTCATTTTCTTGATTTATTTTGTCATTATCTCTGAAATTGGACATAGAATCCTCCTCAGCAACAAATGATGTTGTGACACTAACAAGGGGGAACACTGCTATTCTCGAAACTTGATTAAACACAGCAATGGATACACCTACAGCTCCAAGTTCAACCGGACCTGGTTGTCACAAATGAAAAATATCAGAGCAATCAAAATACCTGTATAGAAGAGTAATCAAACTTCTTGTCAAAACATCTCAAGAGAATCACACTACTTTTGCGGACTTCATTTAGCACTAAATGACCAGGCTCAGTGGTAGTCCAAGGCAGTTAGAAGAGATAGTTGACTAGATTAAGAAACTGAGGGAGTCCAGTTAAGGTAGAGCAGAGTCAGTAGCCCGATAATTAAGCTAAGGTGAGTTGAGGTTAAAGGTCAAAGTATCCTAGGTTGGTTTATACTGTTTAGCTATGCAGAAGATTATGCAAGAAAGGGTGGCTATTTTCCCCAGTCCCCTCTAATTTCTGTATTCTATCACCACAGTTCTCGAGTTGGAGACACACATACTCCCTGCTTCGTCGTACCTTTTGCAGCAATGCACACTGACTGCACATATGTGATTCAAGGCATGACAATATTCCTGAAAGACGCCAGGACTCTTTATTGAAGCCTTCTTGTCACAGCGTGAAATGGAAGGAGGGCATGTCAGTCGGTGGCTATCATGGCTCAGCTTAAACAGATGCGAACCAATAGACATACTAATACTACGTCTTTGTGTTTGTGTTTGACAAGAATAAGGTGCAGACAGCTAAGCCCCTCCATTGAATAAATTCGCATTGAACAAGCAGGTGCAGAGAATGGTACTTGTCACAAAGTCTCCAATCTTAGCATACTCCTATTTTTTACTACTATACTATTGTTGCAAAGTCTCCAATCTTAACATACTCCTGTTTTCTACTACTATACTATACTATGTTTTGTTTTTTTGGGAGTTACGTGAATGGAGCAGGTTTACGACGGACGCCCAGAGACTTGGAAGAAACGAAGAGAAGGCAAGAGCAAGAGCAAGAGCAAGAGCAAGAGCAAACCTATGTGACCAATGAAGGCGGTGTCGACGAGGGAGGCGACTGGGTCAGCCATGAGCGCGAGCGCGCCGGGCACCGCGATCTTCATGATCTCCTGCCCGAGCTCGTCCCATCTGAAGGCGAGCCTGAAGACGGGGGAGCGCGCGCGGGGATGAAAAACAGGTGGAAATTAAACAGCAAGCCATAGCGAGCGCCCCAGCATGGTCGTGGATCATGGATGGGCGGCTCACCTCGCGTCCCGGAGGAATATGCTAAGCGGGTGGTGGTGCTCGCCGCCCCGTTCGCGTGCCCTTAAACCCGGCTTGATCCGCTTATTTTTTCATTCGAACAGCATTTTTCTCTCACAAATTTCTCCAGTATTCCTCCAAACCATCCAAATTTCTCCAGAATTTAGACAAGTGAACAGACCCTCGCTCTCCCCGTGCATCGTCCACACGCAACTACACAAGCAGGTGGAGTGGAATGAAATCGGGTCCGGAATTCCTCATGGGTGCCCGCGTGGACATAATTGGAATTTTGCCATTACGAAACGTGGGCTTCGCTCTTTTGCCATCCCGCAAAAGAGATTCGCTAGTTTGCCACTATAAAACTGGACACACTCGCTAAAATGCCATTTCTGTATTTTGTTGCCAATTTTATTTTTCGCGACCTCTTTTCTTTCCGGTTTTGCCCCTGAGCCTTAACCCTTCGTTTCACTCGTTAACGGTTCTTCACGGGAGTTCACGGAGAGCCCTGGCCGGTAGACTTCCTCTGCTGGCTCAACTCAAGGTCCACCCATGCCCGCTGCCGCCGCCGCAACTCCAGGGTCTCGATGGCTCTCTTCAACCCACAGCCGCCGCCGCCACCGCAGCAACTCCAAGCGGGCGCCGCCGCCACCCCGACGCGTCTATGCAGCCCGCCGGCGCCGCCACGAGCAGGTCTCCGCTCTCGCCGTCGTTGGATCTGCAGCCGCTGGTCCTGCCCGTCCGGGTGCTCTTCCCCAGGCCACCGCCGCACACGCCAGGCTATGGGTGAGGGTTCGTCTAGTTCGTCGTTCATCCCAACATCTGTCGTTTCTTTGTATCCACTTGGCCCTAGTGGGGTCCCCCTGATTCCATGCCCAGAATGTGGTGATAAAGTAGTGGAATGCAAATCATGGAAGAACAACGGCAGAATTTTCTTCAAATGCGTAAACTACAATGAATTTGTGAGTATACATTGCTCTGTTGTTTATTGTCATATACAACTGGATGAACTAGGTACTGTGTCAAGGTTTGGATAAATAAACTGTGTTATGTATTGTCATTTCCACAGGTAGTGAAGAAATGTCCATTCTTTAGGCGGTTGGAAGAGTACAAGAAAGTAGTTGCAAAGAAGCTTAAAGAAGATTTGCTAGGTGCAGTGCCATTAGAAGGTCGTGGTGAAACTAAATGTCAAGAAAAAATGAAGCTTAAAAGCAGAATTTTTGATGAAGATAGGATCTATCTCAAGATGGACAAGCTTATCGATCTGGTCCAGTTGTTGGTGGTGCTCTGTTTAGTCATGACTGTCATAGTTCTTTTAGGTGTGGTAGTGCTTATTAGCAAGTGAAGCAAGATTGTGTTCTAGAACTGTGTTGTATCAGTATCGATTAGTTAGCTTTTGCTGCTAGTTGGATGCCAATATGCACAAATGATTTTGTGAACTGCCTCTTCATCTGTAATCAATTGGCAACACTAGTGATTGGCTGATTGTAAACATGAAACTGAAATATATGTTAAATAGGTGTTTGCTATTGTAAACATGAAGCTGTGATTGATGAATTTTCTTTATTGTTTGATTGTAATTTTATATCCTCCCTTTTTCCGATATTGTACAGTGCCCCCCACCACCACTTTAGTTGTCTGGCTTGTTAAACTGCAGGTCCATTGTCTGGCATTGATATTGTATAGCTTGGTGCCACTTTAGATGGTAAACTGCAGCTTGTACTGCAGCTTGTACAGTGCCCCCCCCCCCCAAAAAAAACTTTAGATGCTTATGCAGTTGTCTTCATCAGGAATAGCTAGTGCCACTTGTGTCTCCATGTAAAAATGGTACTGGGATTCAAGCTTTACCTGTGGAAACAAAAAGTACTTGGTGTGAGTGTTGCCCTTGCTGGACACTTTTAGGTCTCAGAGTATGCCCCCTTTTGGCCTTTGGAATAAAAGGAAGTACTATGTACCTCTGCTGACAAAGTGTGATCAGCCTAAAAAACCCCTTGGTTGTAATCACCAACTGGCTTAGGAGATAAAAATGTGGGAATCTGGAAGTAGCTGTTACTGTTGGATGGCATCTTCTATGGTCATAATTGGTGGCTGCAAAATTTCTGTGCTATACTCAACAACAGCTTGCTTTGCAGCCATATAAGCATACCTCTGTGTTTCAGCAATCTGAGTGATTGAAAAGCAACAGTTGGGAGGCCAGCCCTGAGATACTTCAGCAGAAATATTATCAACAATATCAATTGCACCATTCTAGGGAAGTGGACAGGATACACAGTCAAGCCCTTCCAGAAATATTATCAGTAAGGTGATAAAGCTGCAGAGCAGATTCATTGATTGGAGAAGACAGTACATGACATCCTGAGCAGATTCACACCATTCTAATAACATAAAGGTTCACACAATTACATATATCCAGATAACATAGTAGTTTCCATAAAGGTTCACACCATCTAAGTTACAATAACATAGGTCCAGATACAATAACATAGGTCCAGATACAATTTCAGACATTCCAGACACAAATCAATTGGTTTTCAGTTTCCTTGGCTTCAGTTTTTTTGCTAGGCTCCTCTTTTGGACTGTCTTGTCTGGTGAGGTAGCAATGATGGGATCCACACCTTCACCTAGCAGTGTGTGGAGTTGGCTACAATAAAAGTACCACTATGAGTCATTTTTTGCTCGTGTACAAGTATAAAACAATGAGAATTAATCTGTTGCATACCCTCTTGTCACCCTAATGGGGCTGTTTTACAGGATCTGCTCTCTTGTGAGCCTTGTGGGTCTGGAGAGTGCATTTGGGGCTGCTGGAGCCAAGACTTGGACATTGGAAGGATTTGGGGCTGGTGGAGCCAAGACTTGGTCATTGGAAGGATTTGGGGCTACTGGTGCCAAGACTTGGGCATTGGAAGGATTTGGGGCTGCTGGTGCCAAGACTTGGTCATTGGAAGGATTTGGGTCTATTTTGACAATGTGTAGTTCAAACTCTTCATTTATAGCAAATTGTCTCACAACCAATCTAAACTCCTTCATGTTAGGATACACTGTGCCAAGATCCATTCTAGGCTGATTTGGATCATGCACCACAGTCCTCTCCCCTGGTAAATAGTCATCAACATCAATGGCTGCCCCAGTTGTATCAACTTCCCAAGTATCGTCGTTCTATTCACCACAAACTTTCCTAGCTGCCTCCCTTGCCTTATCAGCCTCCTCATCCTCAAGCCCAAGTCCCAACAATGCATACATCACCTCATCATCCACCATCTCTATTCTTCCCTCTTCATCTCGACTTTCTTCAATGCATAGCGTATCCCAATCAACAAGAGGTGTTAGCGGCTGCTGTGCAGGAGGTTCTACCGCTGCTAAGCTAAGTTCAGGCTCTCCATTGAGCCTAGTACAGGAAAAAAAGTGGTACAGTTAGGAGATCTCCACTGTTAGATTACCACCATAAATTAGAGGACTAAGAATTATTCTTTTTTACTTCTTAATTACCACCAGAATGGTTCAAAGTTCTATGTACATGAGCACAGCCTAGGTGCCATTTTTATCATTGAAAAACAACACATGAGCGTAAACTTAATAAATGAAAAGGCATTGGGTTATGAGGGTCAACCTAATAAATCAAAAGCCATCAGGTTTATCGCGAACGTCTAGACCATTGAAAACAAGAAAGATTAATTCAATTTAATGATTGGTCTAAAAACCAGGCAATCAAGTTCACAACTCAGAAACGAGACAGAAACTATCATATGGGAGCACTGGTCAAAAAGAAGCTAAGTAGTAGAGCATTCGTGAGCAAGAATGCGTACCCTAGGATGAGATCTGGCCGGTGGTTGTCCATCCAGTACTTGGAGCAGCGCGGGCGTGGCCGACGGAGCCGGGACCCCTGGCTGGCTACAGGGAGACAGCCGAGGAGGTGGGCTGGCGTGGACGCGTCGGGGCATCGGGGGGGGGGGGCGAGGACGACGCATCGGGCGGCGGCGGTGGGCTAGCGCGGACGCGTCGGGGCAGCGGAGTGGGGCTCTCGATGAGTATGTGCCAGCCCTGGTGGTGTCGGTCTGTCCCGTGACCGAACGAATGGGGGATCGAATGGATTGGATACGGTTGCTAGTGAGCAGGGGCAAAACCGGAAAGAAAAGAGGTCGCGAAAAAAAATTGGCAACAAAATACAAAATGGCATTCTAGCGAGTGTGTCCAGTTTCATAGTGGCAAACTAGCGAATCCCTTTTGCGGGATGGCAAAAGAGCGAAGCCCACGTTTCATAATGGCAAAATTCCAATTATCTTGCCCGCGTGGGTGGGTGTGGGACTGTGGGTGGGTGGATGCCACGGGAGAAGGCAATATGTGCCTTTGGGGGCACGGGGTAGCGCCGCCCACCAGGGCCGGGCTCAGATGGCGCCACCCTGCGGTGTAGCCATGCAGGTGCAGGCTATGTTTGGGTCCCCTCCCAGAATGGTATCTGCTACTGTATTCGGTGCGTTGTCAACGAACCGGAGGTGGAGTGGTCCTCCGTGACCAAGGAGATGAGCGGCGGCATGAGTGCGTCGCTTACGCCGCTGTGGTGCTCCAGCCTCCGCATGGTCGCCGGTGCTTCGCCGCCGCGTCCTCCGGCTGCGGCCGTTGGACTCCTTGAGCGCCCAACCCATGGCACGTGGGCCATGGCGGCCCGCTCCATCCGTCGATGTAGGCTTCTCGGAAAATAAAGAAGGAAAAAAGTCCATTTGATGTCCAACATTTCACCCAAGTCCGATTCGCTTCCTCTAATATTAAAAAAACAGTTTTCGACTTCTAGGCGTGACACTGCGAGAAGAACGGGGTGTTTTCCGCTAGATCGACGTACTAGATGTTGGGTTAGGAACGATAGGCAATA